ATTTGCCCCGGTGATCATTTCTGAGCGTTTATACCCTGATTCTGGTTTTCTGGTTTTTGGACTTTGGACTGTTTGACTCTTCTACGATTGATTTCTGCCTGGCCTGAACTTGGACTGTTTCCTGATTACGATTATTGCTGCCTACCCTGATCTTTGCCTGTGTACTGGATTATTCTGCTGTCTTGTCTGCATTGCTCTGTCTGCCCCGTCTCGACCCTGCCTGTACGACTCTGATTAATACAAGCTGCAAATGGATTCCTCAGTTCTCTGTGGTTCGTTACAATATCAGTGCAAATTTCTGCAATCTTCACTTCACCAAGACGCTTGTCCACGGTCGTGACAAAAGCTTCTTTCTCCGTGATCACAGAATTACAGTCTGCCTCTTATCGATGGTCACAAGTGAGATGATTTCTTTTGAATCATTCTCCATGGCAGTGTAGGAGCAATACTGGGCACAGACTGTTCATTCGTCCATCTGCTGTAAAGGACACAAGAAATCTTTTCTTTTCCAAACATTTAAGAAATACTATACTTTTTCTAAAATATTTGAATAAAGAAATTAAATCAAAGAGAAAATCGAAAATAAATAATTTGACAGAATTCATATGGTTATTTGCTAATTTAATACAATAATGTTGTTACAAAAACAACAACGTGGAACATAGGGTGACCAACTGTCCTGTTTTCCCAGGACATGTCCTATTTTCATAAAACAATATAACAATTCCTTCAATATAACAGGTGTCCTTCCCAATAAAGTCCCATGTTCATATGGTTGAATAGGTGTGCTACTTTGTAGTAATTATTTCCTGTTTGTGGCCATCATGAAATCCCCTGCCTGCATGCTGTATTTTAGTGTGGCCTGTGAATTCCACGTCCATACTCTGTGTCCATTTGAACACTTCTAAAAGATAATGACACAGTAGGTTAATTGCATGTCTGCACTTACACATAATATGTTATACGCCACTTTGAATTTCTAATATACACCATCTCGCAGTTTTATTCAAAATATGGTTAAACGTTGTGCCTCGGGCATTTGTAACTCAGATATGCGTTTCCCAGAGAGGTTGGAGGGGGGTGTCCGTTTTTTTCCCTTCCCAAAACCGAAGTCAAATCCTGACCGTGACAAGTGTCGTGTTTGTATTAAACTGTGTGGACGTCCTCAGTCAGCAAAACAAGAACATCTTTTTTTTTGCTCCTAACCTTACTGTAAGTGTGAAGTTATACTAGTTAGACCGTTTTATAGTGTTTTAGGTTACAATTTCGGTTCTCATACCGGTTGTTGATACGCTAGCACATGCTGCTAGTAAATAAAACGTTATACAGTACTCGTGTAGTCCGTTTGCTTTGTAATAACGATTATAGAAGTGAATAGAGACCTACCCAGCTTTGCATGAACAGTGTTGCTCCCTGATATTGTTAGTCCCAGCCTCCGTCTCCATTAGTAGGAAATGCGGTGGTTCATTTTTTGACTGTGAGCGGTAACTTAACGTTATGCTTTTGCCTCTATTTTGGATGCCTTGTTGTTGATTGCGTTTCACATGTATGTCTTGAATATAGCCTTATTGCACGCATATTATTGCAGCCCCTTTTGCCTACTTCTATAGGACACTTTATTTGCTGCTTTATAAAAGTTTGATAACATTTCAGCAGGAAGAGCTGTTACAGCATAAGCCATGCAGAGCGCAGATGAAGTTTGACGGATAGCAACAGTAACTAAGGGGGGCGGGGCTTAGCCAAAGGTGAATTATTTCAAAATGGTATTTCTCTTAAAAATCTTTGTAAACTTTTGGGATATGTAACTGCAGAAATATATCACACTGTGCAAGTGATTTTGGGATATTTTATTACAAAATTCTTATTGGACCTTTAAATCTAGTAGTTTGTGGGTTTTAGGCCATTTGTATTGATGTGTTATTGCAATCAGTAAAATCAGTGTCCTTCAGTGAACCTGCAACAATGCTGAAATAAAGTCTGTGTTTATTTTTGAGCCTGCTTTTAAACATTAACGGGCTATCTTTCATATATTCGTGTGCGGGAAAAGCGTCAATTAAACTAAACTAAACTAGTCAATACACATCTTGAAACATCGTGTTTGTGTATTCTGTTCTGCCGCTGTTTGACTCTTCTTCCTCTTTCGGGGCGGCGGGGAGAGAAAGAGGAGGAAGAAGACGGGTGGAGCATTGTTTGCTGTTGTTCAATTTGGCTATTTTTCAACGATTTTCTTTGTTTGCCTCTTATTTATGTTACGAAAATGGTTTAAAACTAAATATAATATGTCAGTTCCGTATGTTAAGTAAAATGTAGTTTCTATCGTCGCGCTTTAAAACTCAAGAGTTTCTCCGTTTCCACTCGTGGACTTCAAGCTCGAGCTTCTGTTTCCTTGTTCTTCAGAATGCAAAATACAGAAGATCTTCAATCAGCAATGCAACCAGGTTAGTCTAATGTAATGGGTGATATTGTAAAGTTTGCAGTAACTCTATTTGAGATTTAATTTGCGAGGATTAAGTAATGACGCACCGAAAATTTGACCAAACCGAAACCGAAACCAAAAAATGGCTACACTTGATTAGACTTTGTTTGGAATAAAAATAAGCGTGAGCTCGTGATTATGTTGTGATTAGTGTCTATATGTTTTACTAAAAATGATCCCTTTTGTAGAGAAACGTTTTTGTAGAGAAACTTTTTTTTTGCTTGTGCTTGTTTTGTGTTATGTTATAGCCTAGCTGTTATGTTATAGGCCCGAGCCTACTTTCTAAAAACAGTCACAAACGATGCCATTTTTATCATTAAATTTAAACAATAAATGTTGTTTTGATGTGGTTTAATGTGGTGCGTGACAGTTCTTCCTGTTTACATCTGAATGATCTCTGCGCCGATTAGGCCTACTCAATTTTAGCATTTAAAGAATCATAAATGAACATGAGATTGAACATGACTAGACTCACAAAATGAGTCTAGTGCTCAATAACTTTAATTTGGTTTGACACTTGTTTGATTTCAGTGATTGCTAATATTACAATCTGTTATTGCCCCGAGATTAGGCCTATGACGCATTTTCAGAGATGTGTGTGTGTGTGTGGGATGTGTGTGTGTCTTTATATGGCCATGTGAAACAATGGGATTATTATTATTTTTTTTTGTCTTTAATATTGTAACTTTTCAAGAAACTAATGAAAATATGGACACTGAATAAAATATCTTTGAAACCGGAAATAAAAATGGCAGGCTATTCACAAGTAAGTCACACGTGTTTTGTTAGCCTGGTTATAACAGACCATTCTCCGTTGTCACTTAGTTATGGTCTGGCAAAGCTTTTATTAAAAAAAAAAAAAAAATCATTTCCAGAGGGGGGTCACCATGTAAGCTCAAATGCCTCTGGAAAATTACACTATGCCTCATTGTGTAATTTATGGAAAGCACATTCACTTCTAGTTGTCTTGCTGTTAATTTCAAATGAACGTAGAGCAAGAAGCAAATCAGTGTCTGCTCATTTATTCAGGTGTTCATAACAGACGAACGTCGCTCTGCATACGTCATCTCCTTGAATGAATGAAATGTTTTTATTTCGAACATGTAGAAAAACAAGCAAACAAACAAACAAAAATAATCATAATAACAATTAATAACAAAAACAATTAATAACAAAAAACAATTTTAACTTATACATGTCCGAAAAGGAGTAGGAAGAAGCATAAGCTTATTCAATCCTACCCCATCTCCACTACTTTTTAATAATTAATTAACTAATTAACCGGTTGACCGAACATCTTGATCTATTTGTCTCTACACACCAAAAAACAAAAAAACAACATACATATTTATTATTTACCTTCGTTTATATAGATCTTATATATAATAAATTACATATGAATATAAATAAAAAAATAATAATAATAGAAAATGAAATTAAATGAAAAAAAAAATGAAAAAATATAAATAAACTATCACCTAACTAATAACCTTCTTCCTCTATATACCTTGCAAATATCATATTTTTACAGTGCTTTTTAAACTGAGTCATACTTGGGCATTGTTTAAGCACTGAACTTAATCTGTTCCACAACTTCATTTCACATATCGAAACACAAAAACTTTTTAATGTTGTACGGACACATAATTGTTTAAAGTTGCACTCACCCCTAATAGTATATCGCCCTTATCTATTAAAAAACAGTTGTTAAATATTACCAGGGAGTAGGTTATTTTTTGCTTTATACATTATTTGTGCTGTTTGAACATAAACCAGATCAGTAAATTTCAACGTTTTGGATTTTAAAAAAATAATACATTTGTGTGATCTCTATAACCAGCACCTTGAATCATCCTTTTTTGTAACATAAATAAAGATAATAGTCTGCATCTGTAAGTATTAAACCTCTGCACAATAGTTTAGATATGATAATATCAGCGTACAGTAAGAATGTGGAGTGATTTGTAACTCAGAACATGTTTTGCTTTAATTGTTCAATATTGAAATACTTCTTGAAAGTTTATTGTATACATGTTTTATGTGAGATTTCCAACATATTTTGTCATCTATTATCACCCCAAGAAACTTATTTTCTTTAACCTGTTCTATATCCACCCCATCTACATGTATCTGAATTTGTATACTCTTTTTACAGTTACCAAATAACATGAAGTAGGTTTTATTAATGTTTAATGATAATTTATTTCTATCAAATCTTCTTTTTAATTTATACACTGCTGAAGTAATAATCTCCACTAGTTCCTGTAAATTCTCCCCAGAACAAAAAAAATATTTGTGTAATCTGCAAATAGTACTAGTTTTACTGTCTTTGTAACTTTACATATATAATTTATATATGACAAAAACAAATTTGGATCCAAAACTGACCCCTGGGGTACACCACAAGTAATGATTAAGATGATTAATAAGATTATATATCCACTTGTTTCAATAAAAATTGAAAAATATATATATTTCTGAGTAATGAGTGTTTATTTGTAATGTATTATTTTGTATTTTGCAGAAAACTGAAGAGTTGTGAAGATCTTCTGTGATCTGGAAACATGATGGAGAAAAACGCTGTGAGTTTAAACTTATATTCATGAACCTTATATGAAGAAGTAAAACTATAAACCTACAACCATTTAATTTTAATACATTTTATATATGATGATTCGATTGATTTGTTATTGTATTTGTAATCAATTCCTATTGGCTATGCCCCCATACCAAATAATGTGTTGATAATTGTTTTGCCTTTGTGCAAAATGGAAATACTATTTTAAAGGGACAATGCGTACTTTTTTAGGTATTGTATTATCTAAAATCAATATTTTTATTCATAATTATGTCCTCAATGGTGTACAAATACCTCTGCCAATTATCTGACTTATCCTCGTAAACGAAGAATTTATTATCTTTATATGCATGGGGCGGGTAGGTCCACAGGGGCTTCCATGTCCTTCCGCCATCTTGAAAAACTATAATAGCAGAGAGGGACATAAAGTACCAGGCCAATGCGTTTCCACAGCGCGTTTTCTGTTTATGTCAAATTGCCATAAAGCAGTTTGTGTTTCTCGCTCGTTCTCGCTTCTCACGGGACGTCAGTCCCGATGTTGCAAGGTTGGTTTTCCGCCAGGGAACGCTGGGGGGAGCGGGGAAGGTCACCATTCTCTCCAGAACAGGTTTCTGAACCATTCAAATGATTTCTAAACACATTTATTAAGTTGAAATAGTTGAAAAAGTGTTCCTTTAAAAGGCCGTATTGCACTGTTATTTTTTAATGCCGGACCATATGTCAAAACACAAGAGAAGAAAGCCCTGTCGCTAAAAAAGTCCAAAATAGAAAGTAAAAAGTTCACCTGAAGGAACACTCGAAGAAGTGCTTTTAGAAGACATCCTGTCAGAGCTTTTTGGTACATAATGGCTACCGTAGATGCAACACGCATTTGAGAGCGAGGCGCTGTAGAGCACAATTCGTTTGAATGCATAAAAACATTTTCAGTTTTCACCGCTAGATGGGAGAAATTCCTACACAATGTCCCTTTAAATACTATATATACATTTAAAAAAGTCTAGAGATGAGAATATACTGTAACTAGTACATGTTAAAATAAAACACATCTTAGTTTACACAAAAATTAAAAGGATTACAACAGCCAAACAGAGTTATATTAAAAAATGCTCTGAACACATCCATCATTATAAAAGTAATCCATACAGCTTATGTAATGCTACGTGACATTGTTTATAAGCAGTTTTATTTCTGCGGAGGAAACACTGATTGAGCGATTACACCAGATACTGTCATTAAGTTCTTCTAAATCTTTCAACATGTTTATTCTGTAAATGATTGTGAAGAAGAGATGATAACGTTCTCTCACGCTTGATTCACTGATCTCAGTGTTTAATCCCTTTATAAAAAGTGTTAATTTATGATAGTGTTACATTTTAAAATGTATTTAAATGTTTTAATTGTTATTGTTAAAAAAAATATCGATTTAGATACGATATGGACTGTTTTTGTAGCGAAAATAATTCCAAACAAAAACCACAGCAGAACCACAGCACATCTCACCATAACACAAAACCGCATTACTGAATGATTCAGCACTTTGAACGAATCCGTCAAAGATTCAATGATAGTCTTAATACTTTATTAAAAGGACATTTTCTTTTTCCCCTAAAGATGCATAAACATGACCAACTCTCTAATGTCAGTGGTGACAGTGGTTTCAGTGATTCCTCAAATAAGAGCATGGGAAATCCTCCTTTATTCAGTAAGTACATTTCATCATGAATTTAAACTACATTTAGTTTGTGTTAGCAGCTTTAAACATCATATCACCCTCAGAATATATATATATATATATATATATATATATATATATATATATATATATATATATATATATTCTTTTTTTTAATGTGTAAAAATGTGTTTGTACTGAATTTTGAGTCCTGTGTAAGTGTGTATAAATATCAATTGATACATACATTTCAAGTGCTAAAATTCTTTGACAATTCTCTCTTCTGAGCTTTTTTTTTTCTTCAAGATGATTTGTTGGAATACGAAAAAAAGGACAGTGTTACACATAGTTCATAGGGTCAGCAAAGTATATTTTGAGAAAAAAAAACATTACCTTAACATCCCTGGTTATTACAGTATGTCGTGGTATTGTTACGATTTTTTCGATATCGATACCTTGACTGATACCGCTTCCAGAACAATACTTCTTTTCTACACCAATATTCTGAAATCTAATACCAAAAATATGAAATTACATTACATATTACACAGTAAACTACTGACTACAGTGTTGCCAGTGTATAAACTTACTGTTTATTACTGTTTAAATACATTTTGTGGATGTGCCTTTTTATCCTTCACCTATATTGTGGTCAAGGATCAAAAAATAATAAGCATGAATCAAACATTTAAAAACACATGTAAAAATATATTGCACAAACTTAAAAACCTAATGCAAAATGACCAGAATAGCAATCTAGGTGTTAAATGTTGTCTTTCGTAGCTATTTACTGTATCGAAGCTTTAAATTGTAGCAAACTAGATAGCTTTTTCCCTTTGCAATCTGCTGTAAAGTTTGCGATATTCCTTTAATAATTCACTGAAATGCACGAAGAATCTCTGTTTTCTCCCTTAAATTCTCACGTCTCTTTCCAGGTTTGTTTTTTCAAGTACGTGATTGAGTCACTGTTTCTTCAAGAAGTGCTGAAATGTCAAATACTCATTAATTTTGTGCTAATCGTATGTGTATGTTGGTTTCGATTTTTTTCATGTTTGTTGTAGGTAGGAGAGCGCGGGGCACAACCTAACGCGGGGTTAAATGTAACACGGACGTTTTACATAGTTCGTCACAATCAAGCAGGCTGTCTTTCTACTCTTTTTCTCTCGCTGCCAGAAGACGGTCTCACGCGAATTTGCGGAAAGTTTTGATTATATTTCGTGAAGATATTGGACAAAGAGTGTTTTGACACCATGAAAGTAATTTTTTCATCATAGTTTTTTTTTTTTTTCAGGGTTCTGAGTTGGGTGTATACGTTTCCAAATCTAACTTTATATTGCCTTAAACACTGTCTTGTTTGCTCAAGCATATCACCGTTTTGAAACATGTCAGCAATTCCTAGCGACTGTTAGCTAGGTTTAAAATACGTAATACACAGCGGGGTTAGTGGTAACACAGTGTTACAAACAAGCCGCCAAGTGTACACAGCAAAATCCCCAGTGTTAAATTAACACTCTGAGTGTGGACTCATATAAACACTGAAGCAGTGTTAAAGTAACACTAAAGCAGTGTTAAAGTTAATGAGATAATTAAGTGAATAACTGAGTGATGATTGAGCATTATTGAAGACACCTGATGATCACAAGCAGAATCACTGAAGGAGAAAATCGGAATTTTAAGTCACCATTATGGAGATCAGTGTTTGGTTTAGTTGGGCTCTTGGCCCATACATCATTAACTTTAGACTTTGTTTGGCTGCTGTATGTGACTTATAACAGCCAGATGAACAAAAGGTGGTCAGATAGTTCATAAAAATTGGAAAAAAATCCAAGTCCAGGCACTCAGGGTTACAAAAGTGAAAAAGGCCTTTATTTAACAATCGAGGGCTAAACCATTAAAAAACACCTGTGTTTTTTAATGGTTTAGCCCTCGATTGTTAAATAAAGGCCTTTTTCACTTTTGTAACCCTGAGTGCCTGGACTTGGATTTTTTTCCAATTTTTATGAACTTTCAGCCCTTCCAAGAGCACCAGAGGATACAAGGGACACCAGCAGCGCTCCAGCTTCCTTTTGCTGAGTTTTACGGTGGTCAGATAGTGTTGGTTGTGTTTAAGCAATCATTATTTACCAATCATTTGCCCAAATTAGATTTATTATTCCATCAATTAAAGTGGTGCTATTCTTGCACAGCATAGTATTGTAAACTTTTACAATGTAAGCCAAAGAATTTCTTTTCACATATCAAATACTAAATACTACAGTTATTAGACATAAATACATCAATAATCAGCCTGTGAGTCTCAACAATGGTAACAGTTATAAACCATGTTGCAGTGCATTCTGGGTGCCACCAATCAAAACTCATTCATGGCTCCAATCATGCATTGCTGCATGAATAAATAATGAGCTCACGTTCAAAAGTGATCTGTTTGTCACCATTGCTGTGATTCACACGCTAATTCTTGATGTCTGTGTGTACCAACATAAATATACATATTTTTTTTTTTAATTTATCATTTTGTTTCATTGAAAAGGTTAAAAATATGATGTCTTACAAGGACAGTGCTATTAAAATTTGCAAAATAAACCTAAATCCTAAACCTAAAAATTAACCTATATGATTTCAGTAATTCAGGTTAAATGATTATAAAATAATGATTATGTTAAAACACAACCATCATCATCATCAAATCACACTTTTCTTTGTTCATCTGTCTGTTACTACTTAAGTACAACAGTCAAACAAAATCTAAAGTTAATTAGCTAAGGTTCAAGAGCCCAACTAAATCAAACACTGATCTCCATAATGGTGACTTAAAATTACAGTTTCCTCTTTCAGTGATTCTGCTTGTTAACATTAGGTGTCTTCAATAATGCTCAATCATCACTCAATTATTCACTTAATTATCTCATTAACTTTAACACTGCTTCAGTGTTACTTTAACACTGTTTCAGTGTTTATATGAGTCCACACTCAGAGTGTTATTTTAACACTGGGGGTTTTGCTGTGTACAATGATAATCAAATGAAAAAGGAGCCACACAACTTTTCAGGTTTGAGTATACATTTAACTTTGTTAGACTTTCACAAACAATGTTGGAATTTAAAATGTTTAAAATTCAGTGTACTATGAATGATAACTCGTTTATTTATTAAAAAATAAACTGTTTTTTAATGCAATAAACACTTTAAATTTTTATTCTAAGCTCATTTGTATTATTATTACTGTTATTATTAATAATAATAATTGTACATGCAGCTGCCACACACAAATCTAATTTAATTGCAATTACAATATTTTATAATTTTATTTATTATTATTTATTGCAAAACTGTGTTTTCTATGTCTCTATCCATGATATTGATCCACAATAGAAGGATGATTGGATGAGGGATGGATGAATGGATATCTGTCTATACAGATGCACAAACAATATCAAACTATACAAAACAAAGTAGTCCTGAATTATGTGTGTTACACACAAGTGTTACAACTAACCCCTCTGTCTGTTACAATTAACCCCGCATATGGGGTAAGCTGTAGCATTTGCACTTCTGTCACTTTCAGTCCAACTGTACGAAAATGGTAGATCCTAGAAAGTGTTCATTTGTAGCGGAGATGTTTGTGTAAAAAAAAAAAAAATTATCTAACCGAATTATTTTTTAATTAATTGAGCCAAAACCAAAATGAGTTAGGTTGTGCCCCGCTCTCCCCTATATCTGGAAATAGTAGTATTTCATCCTTACTATTGACATTAGCCTCTTATGTTTTAAATTGCAGCAATTGCTGCTCTTTTAGAAAACGACTTATGCGATTGGTTTATTTTTGGTTTATTTAAGTTATTTCTATTAGTATTAACCTCCATCTCAAGGTTTTTAACATCATGAATTGTTGAATTGTTGAAAAGTCATCAGCTGTTAAAGTTCGACTGAGCACTGAGAAAGACACAACTGAGCTCACTTTTACAATCTCTTTGTCACATGCCTGTCCTGTCTTGTGTTGCACATGGGTGTTATTTTGGGCTATGTGCTCTTCCCGTTGTCCTATCTCTTCCCCTCGTTACCTGATTAATGTTTGAGTTATCCCACCTGGCCCCTCTTGATTAGTCCCCTTCTTAAGTCTCCTCTTGTTTTCTGTCTTTGTCGGATCGTTGTCTAATGTTCCTCTGTTTTATTTTTATTCATTGTGTTTTCCCCCCTCGTGGGTTTTGCTTTGTGTTTGTTTATTTTATTATTAAAGTATCATGTTCTCCTGCACTTGAGTCCTCACACCCTTTTTCTTTGCACATTCTGTGACTCTCTTTGCCTCATTCAATAATCTCGGTCCACTTTGTTGCTAAACTTACTTATGTGTGCATTGAATTAAACTTAGCTCATATGTGCATTGAATATTGTTATGTTTTGCATTGAGTAACACAATTTAGGCTACTGTTTTGTTTCTTTAAGTACTGGATTTGAACCTCTTGTCCTTTTTTCATAACAGCATTAAACATGAGTGATTCCAGAGCAGCAGAAAGAGCAGGTGAGTTTAAGTCTGAATGCTCCTGTAACAATGACTGTGAGGGTCTTTGTGATTTGCATATCTAGTAATTGGGAGCTACTGAATACATAGTAAACCATTTTTTTGAGCAATATTTGTATTTATTTAGTGTTATTTTTGCTAATGGTAATTTTCAATCTGAATCTTGATTGTAGAAGTGTTAAAAAAACATAAATACACCATAAAAGAAGAACTCACACATGGGATTTCAGGAAGAGTGTTTCTGGTGAGTCCAGATGAAGATTCCCTTGTGGTCAAAGAGATCAACTACAGAGATGTAAGTACAAGCAAGAGTTTATTAAAGTATTGAACGTAAATATGTCCCAACTCTGGCATAAAACCTGTGCCAAATCCAAATGTGTGTGTTAGGGCTGGGCGATATATCGCACGATATTGTTATGTGCATCTAATCAGTAAAGCCGGTTCCTTGATTAGTAGTAAATCACCTTCACCTGCTTTCAGATGGACGATTTGAGTGTTAAATTAAACTGTTATTTAGATAATTAAGTGATTAATTTAGTGATGATTGAGCATTATTGAAGACAGCTGATGATAACAAGCAGAATCACTGAAGGAGAAAATCACAAATTGTAAGTCACCATTATGGAGATCAGTGTCTGCTTTAGTTGGGCTCTTGACACTTTTACTTTCACTTTAAATTATGTTTGTCTGCTGCTATTGATTTATAGTAGTCAAATAAGACATCTGTGATCTGATAGTGTAGATTATGCTTTGACATAATCATGCTTGATCTGAAAAAATGAATTCTATTTTTATGATTTGCTTTAATTTGTTAGCAACAGTTTTGTGGTTGTGTTGCATATCTGTATTTTTCTTATAACTTACAATTTTTAATATATATTCTGATCAAATCACTCTCATCTTTATTTAGAAACAGAGATCAATAATCAGCCTGTGTATCTCAATTGTGGGGACAAAATTAACCCTTGTTACCACCAATCACAACTCATTAATGGCTCCCATCATGCATTGTGGTATGAATAAATTATGATCTGAATTGTCTATGTAATTTACTTTTCCTACTTGGATATTCTACCCGTCACCGTTGTTGAGAAGCATTGACTGCATCTTGAGGTCTGTGTGTGCCTAAAGGAAAGATTTTTTTTTTTTTAAAACAACTTTTGAGAAATCTGTCTATTTACATTCTGGACATTTATGCAGAATCTCAGTTATACATTAACCAACAGAATAAATTATAGACAGAAATATCGAATGATGAATGTCATTATATGACCAACAGATATAATTCAGATGCAATAGCAAATTAAAATATAAACTTTGTATCATAAGTGTCAAGACCCCAACTAAAGCAAACACTCATCTCCATAACGGTGGCTTAAAATTTTAGATTTTTTTCCTTGTGATTCTGCTTTAGGTGTCTTCAATAATGCTCAATCATCACTCATTTAATCACTTAATTATCTCATTAACTTTAACACTCTTGAGTGTGGACTTATACACTCCCAGGTGTGTTAATTTAACACGGGAGATTTTATCGTGACGAAGAGCCGTAGTTCATTGACCAGCTGAGCCATATCGCATTAAATATCGCTATCTATATGTCCTCGATATTAACGCGATTTGGCTCAGCTTGTCAGTGATCTACGGCTCTTTGTAGTAAATGCCGCTCCATCTAAAAGCAGGTGAAGGTGATTTACTACTAATCAAGGAACCGGCTTTACTGATTAGATGCGCATAACAATATCGTGCGATATATCGCCCAGTCCTAGTGTGAAGTGATCCCTGCAACAAGCGGAAATAAAGCTAGATTGATTGAACATATTAATATGATCCTATAGATAAACATCACAATGTGTTCTTTGCAGAATGTGAGTTTTAATCTAGACGCAGTCAAAAATGAAATCAACATCCTGAAGGATCTGCAGCATGGATATATCGTTCGTTACAAGGACTCCTTTGAAGGTGTGTGTTTAAATTATAGAAAGAGAATCATAGCAATGTTCCTTCAGTCTGAAAGTAAATTTTACAATTTTTTTTTTTTTTTTTTGAAAGTGTGAAACCTTTTTATGAATGTGAACAACAAACAGTTTTGGGGTAAGATGGAGAAAGATGAGTGATGTGAATTTACTTTTAATGTGTAATATCTAGAAGTTTTGACCCGAAACTCAATTTTCATCAAAGGGGTCCAAGAGGGGTTGTGTGGTTGAAATCTAAAAAAGTATAAAATACTTCCCTCACGAAGCAATTTGATTCATGGAATGTGAGGAATGCTAAAAAAACATGAAATATTGTTATATTATTAATTTTAAAGGAACACTCCGACTTTTTGGGACTTTAGCCTATTCACCTTACCCCCCAGAGTTAGATAAGTCCATACATACCTTTTTCATCTCCGTGCGTGCTATAAGTCTGTTTGACGCACCCACCGCTAGCCTAGCTTAGCACAAAGACTGGATGTGAATGGTTGCAGCTTTCATACTGATCCAAATGAGTGACAAAATAATGCAAACGTTTTTCTATTTACATGTTGTGGTTTGTATAGTCACAGAGTGTGCAAATATCAAGGCCATATGAGACACAGACATCTTTTGACCGTATAAATACTATATTTTCTGAAGGGGAAGCACTGCTACTTGGGCAGAGTGATAACAATCACCTGAGACGCACCGTGACGAGGAGCAGAGAGTTCGCTTCGCTCAGCGTTGGAATAAAGAGTCAGCAATTACTAACGTTAGATAGAAAAGCATAGTTTATCATGGGTGTTTGCTTTATTGTATGAGCTGTGACAATAAACAGGGGAGACCAGGTAATACAGTACCATGTTTCATTGATTTCCAACCAAAAACGCACCCAGATTTATACATATCACATGAATAAATAATTATTATTACAGGAATCAATATATTTTAAATGCAATTTATTAGCTGAACCACATGTATTCAACAGTAGCCTATATAATATACAGTATTGCATTACTATAGGATAGAATAAGGGGAAAGTAATAGCACAAATTGTTTTTGCACAATGAACTCACAGCCTATCGTACCCTTTTGCACGCTCAAGTTATTTCCATGGTTATTTCGAATTTAGGCTACTAGGCGCGCCGCGCGCAGGGTGCAAGTTCAACGCGGTGAACGCGCTCGTTTTTTTTCCCAAGCGCGTCCGCACCGCATCAAGATAAAAACATATTCATACCCTAATCATATAATAGTGTCACTAACGTTACATTAGCTCTGGCTAAAGGCACTGTTACAGTAGGTCATCTAAAAACAGAACACTTACCTCAGCCGCAGGTGATCCACTTGTCCTGTGTCTGTGCTATCGATGGGATGGCTGTATCCTTCAGCACATTATGGTCCGTGTGGCAAATTCCATTTTTTCAAAATAATCGTCCATTGAAATGTACCGAGCAAACATAATGTCCCTTGATAATCTATTTAGGTGTGTTTGGATAAATATCCAGAGTAAGTAAGTTTCTGAGTAAGCCATTTCTTCATCCAGTCAGCGTTTTTAGTTGGAATTCTGTGAAACATGGTATTACCTCCCCTGTTTACTGTCGCAGCTATTTACAATAGAGCGAAAACCCATGACTCTAAACTACGCTTTTACTATTTATAAATTGCTGACTCTGTTACCCAAACACTGAGCGAACTCTCCGCTCCTCACCACGGCGTGTCTCCGGTGATGCGGTTATTACTCCGTCAAAGTAGCAGTGCTTCGCCTTCAGAGAATAGTTCCCAGGTTTTATACGGTTAAAAGATGTCTGTGTCTCATTTGACTTTGTTATTTGTACATTATGTGACTATACAAATCACAACATGTAAATAGGAAAACGTTTGCATTATTTTGTCACTCATTTGGATCAGTATGAAAGCTGCAACCATTCACATCCAGTCTTTGTGCTAAGCTAGGCTAGCGGTGGGTGCGTCAAACAGACTTATAGCACGCACGGAGATGAAAAAGGTATTTATGGACTTATCTAACTCTGGGGGGTAAGGTGAATAGGCTAAAGTCCCAAAAAGTCGGAGTGTTCCTTTAATACTCATAAGTCACGTGTTCACTCAAAACATGACAACATTATTTATTTATTTTTTATTTTATTAAACCTTTATTTAACCAGGTGAGCACATTGAGAACACATTCTCATTTACAATGGCGACCTGGCCAAAAAAGCGTCGAGGTACAAAAAACATAAGTTACACATAAAATTACAAGACAAAGTAGTACATAATTAACATAGAAAATTAATACAGATCCGTAGATCAAGTGCACAGATCAGGTTAGCATGTACAATGGTCTGACAGTAAATTTGCTAACAATGATTTAAAAGTGATTAGTGGGACAGTGGATTCAAGTTTCAAAGATTTTTGAAGTGTATTCCAATCATTAGCAGCAGAGAACTGGAAGGAGAGGCGTCCAAACGAAGTACGAGCTTTAGTAGCCACCAGAGTGATATACCTGCTAGAACGAAGGTTCATAGTGGGGATTGCTCTCGAAATTAATGCTTGTAGATAGGGTGGGGTTTTACACAGTAAGCATTTATAGATAAAAAGATACCAATGTTTTTGACGCCGGGTATGTAATGAAGGCCAGCCGATTAAACTGTAAAGGTTGCAATGGTGAGTGTTATATGGAGCATTGGTGACAAAACGGATGACACTATGGTATACAACATCAAGTTTCCTAAGGAGAGAATTTGAAGCTATTCTGTAAATAATATCACCGAAATCAATAATTGGAAGAATAGTAATTTTCACAAAGGCAAGTTTGGCTGGGAAAGTAAAGGAGGCTTTATTACGAAATAAAAATCCAATCCTAGATTTGATTTTAGCTTGAAGCTGATTGATGTGGGTCTGGAAGGAGAGTGAAGAGTCTAACCAGACCCCTAGGTATTTATAGGTATCTACCCACTCTATTGCAAACCCGTCTAAAGTTATGATACTTTTTGAACAATCAAGTACAGTGTGAGATCGATCAAAAAGCATAACTTTTGTTTTGCTAGAATTTAAAAGCAGTTGAAGGGAACAGAAAGAGTGTTGTATATTATTAAAGCTTTCTTGGAGGTTGTTTAACACAGTGTCCAACACTGGGCCAACTGTATAAAGGATGGTATCGTCTGCATAGAGGTGAATCATTGAGTCTCCTGCAGCAAGAGCAACGTCATTGATATATATAGAAAATAAAGTCGGCCCGAGGATTGAACCCTGAGGCACCCCCATGGAGACAACAAGAGGACTGGAGAGTAGTCCCTCTGACCTAACACATTGAAACCTATCAGAAAAATAATTTGTAAACCAAGCAAGACAATCATTAGAGAAACCCAGGTTTTTCAATCTATCAATTAGAATGTTGTGATTGACAGAATCAAAGGCCTTGGCCAGGTCAATAAATACTGCTGCGCAGTAGTTTCTGTGATCAAGAGCAGTTATAATGTCATTTAGTACTTTAAGTGTGGCTGAGGTGCACCCATGACCGGCACGAAAACCTGATTGCATGTCAGAAAGACTGTGCTGGGATTCGAAATAATTGATAATTTGTTTATTAACAATTTTTTCGAAAACCTTTGAAATGCAAGGGAGGATAGAGATTGGTCTATAGCAGTTTGGGTCTAATCTATCCCCTCCTTTAAATAACGGAATTACTGCCGCAGATTTCCAATCTTTAGGTAGTTCGGATGAATTGAAAGAAAGGTTGAAGAGACTGGTGATGGGGGTAGCTAAGATTGCCGCAGACAGCCTTAAAAAGGAAGGGTCCAAATTGTCTAGTCCCGCTGATTTAAAGGGGTCAAGATGCTGCAGCTCCCTTAGAACGTCTACTGTCTGAACAGGGGCAAAGGATACACCTGTGTGTATCGATTTCTGGCTTCGTTAAAAAGTTGACGATCTCGAGGGTTTTTCGTCACTAATGCAGTACGCCATAAGATGTTCTTATGATGGCTCAGGGCAGTGAGTTCTGGGGTGAACCACGGGCTGTATCTACTTTTAGTTCTGAGCTTCTTGTACGGGGCATGTTTATTTAAAACAGCTAAAAAAGAATTTTTAAAAAATGACCAGGCATCCTCAACTGAAGTGATAAGGTCAATGTCCTTCCAGGATACCTGAGCTAGATCAGCTAAGAAGGCTTGTTCGCAGAAATGTTTTAAAGAACGTTTATTAATGATAAGAGGAGGCCTTTTAATTGCAGACCCATTACGAACACATGCAGTTATACAGTGATCACTGATGTCTTGACTAAAGACACCTGAGATGTATTTAGTGGGCAAATTGGTTAGAATAATATCTATAAGGGTGCCCTTATTTACAGATTTCATGTTGTATCTAGTAGGTTCGTTAATGATTTGCGTGAGATTGAGGGCATCAAGTTTAGATAATAAGTTGGAAGAAGCGTTAAGCATATCCCAGTTTAAGTCGCCCAACAGTAAAAACTCAGAAGATAAGTGGAGAGCAATCAGTTCACATAGGTTGTCTAGGGCACAACTAGGTGCAGAGGGGGGTCTGTAACAGGCAGCTACAGTCAAGGACTTATATCTAGAAAGGTGGATTTGCAAGATTAAAAGCTCAAACTGTTTCGGCAGAGACCTAGATAAAATGATAGAGCATTGTAAAGCCTGTCTACAATAAAGAATGACTCCGCCTCCTTTAGTGGTTCTATCTTGACGGTAAATATTATAACCTGGAATTGAGACTTCTACATTTTTAGTAGATTTCCTAAGCCAGGACTCAGACACTGCTAAAATATCAGGGTTGGTTGAGTGTACAAGGGCAGCAAACAAATCCATTTTAGGAAGTAAGATTCTGATATTAATGTGCATGAACTTCAAATTATTACTATTACAGAAGTCTGCATAAGAGATATCCTGAGGTGTTAAAATGGTATTATTTGCTACAGGGCCAGGATTTAATTCAACATCACCCGAGCAAAGTAAGAGCAATGTGAAAATTCTGCAGAAGGCAAGCAGAACAGGGCGTTTTGAGTATTGGACCGGATAGATATATAACATGAAAGCACACAGTGTAAAACACAAGCTGCATTCAATAAAATACAAGAAAGCACAAAACACACAGACAGAAGAGCACAAGAGAATGAGCGAATACTCGTTACATGCCCTCATGACAGAAGATAAACATTCGGAGGATGAATGTCTGAATCCCGACACATAACCGATAGTTACTGCAGTCTATCTAATGTTGGTCCACCAATAGATTTGAAATATTTTTGTAGTTTTGTCCAGATTACTAGTTTTGAATGAGTGATCTGAAAGGTTTTCAGACCGAAATGAACGGGTCCAGATCGGATCCGGATAGGGTCTGCCGCGGATCTAGTCTGGATCCGCAATCCTGATCTGTTCCGGATCCGTTGCGCTGTGCAAGTGGACTCCGTTCCGGACCTTGTTCTTACCTCCGCGGCAGATCCGTTCCGGAGTCAGTTGCTTTGTGGGAAAGCGAAACCCCCATTCTCGTCATCTGACGTAACTCGGAGTGACTACGAAAGGGAACTATTTTTTGGGGCAGACTGGAGGAATGAGGCTGATGAACATTTTTTTGGAAATAAGTTCCAAAGAATGTCCAATGCTTTTGACTGGTAGTTTATACATATGTAATTTCCCATATTTTTAAATGAACATATTCCATAATAATACATCATTGGTTTTATTTTTGGACGTTTTTTTTTTTATGATGAAGAATCTGGATACTTCTACATTGTGTCGGAGTACTGTGCAGGAGGAGATCTGGACAAGAAAATGAAGGAACAAAAAAATAAACATCTTCCTTTCAAAGAAGAACAGGTGAGTGTTATATGCACTCTATTGAGTGGTAAATGGTAAATGGACTGGACAACAAAGCGCTTTATATTTTTTCCTCACATTCACTCACTCATTCATACACCGACGACGGTGTCAGCCATACAAGGCGCCATCCAGCTCATCCAGCAATGACACATGCAAGCTTTTAGAACTCAAATATACCAAATAAAAACAAGTGCATCGCATGGAATACATTATTGCTTTCTTGTTTCTTCTGTGTGCAGATCATTGACTGGTGTGTTCAGATTTGTCTGGCTCTGCAGCATCTCCATAAGAACAATGTTCTCCACAGAGATATAAAACCAAAGGTAGACGTTGACAAAGGTCATTTAATCATTTATTAAAGTGAAAGGTGAATGTGTTTGTGTTCATGTGATGATTTATGGTGTTCTTCTAGAATGTGTTTCTGACTGAGGAAGGTTACATCAATCTGGGAGATGTTGGATGCTCAAAAGTGCTGCAAAGGTGAAATGAAATAGGATTAATAGGATTTTTGAAGGGATTTTGTCTGTTCCATCCATTTGAATTTACATATCTGATTTCTCTGTTTTAGTGCTGATGAATATGCAACATCTGTTGTGGGTACAGATCTCTATATCAGCCCAGAGATCTATGAAAATAGACACAATTCAAAAAGGTTTGCTTTTTTCTAAAATATTTGGTACAATGAGGCCTGGTTTCACGGCCTTTGTTTAGTTTGGGGACGTATCGCCAGCGATATTTAATGCGATATGGCTCAGCTGGTCAGTTAACTACGGCTCTTCGTCACGACAAAATCTCCCGTGTGGGAGTGTATATGAGTCCACACTCAAGAGTGTTAAAGTTAATGAGATAATTAAGTGATTAAATGAGTGATGATTGAGCATTATTGAAGACACCTAAAGCAGAATCACAAGGAAAAAATCTACAATTTATGGTCACTGTTATGGAGATGAGTGTTTGCTTTAGTTGGGCTCTTGACACTTATATTATTAATTTTATATTTTAATTTGCTGTTGCATCTGAGTGACATCTGTCAGATGAACAAACATAAACAATTATAAAATGATGTGCGTCACATAATGACATTCATCATTTTATATTTATGTTAGTGATTTATTCTGTTGGTTAATGTATAACTGATATTATTCATAAACATCCAGAATGTTAAATATAATATAATGGATTTCTCAAAAGTTCTAAAAAAAGTTCTTAAAATCTAAAATTTTAAGCCACCGTTATGGAGATGAGTGTTTGCTTTAGTTGGGCTCTTGACCCTTATATTATTAACTTTATATTTGTATATCTATCAGATGAACAAAAATAAACAATAATAAAATGATGTTGGTCATATAATGACATTTATCATTTGAAAGTATGTCTTTAACCTCCTAAGACCTGGTTGTCCACATACGTGGACATCACATTATTGGTTGTGTGTCCAGGGGTCAGAAAGTAAAAGTCCTGCCATAAGTTTATTCCACCCACAGCAAAAACTCCAGTGTTAAATGAACTTTACTGGGAGTTTCTTTGGATCCAGACTCAAGAGTGTTAAAGTTAATGAGATAATTAAGTGAATAACTGAGTGATGATTGGGATATTATTGAAAACACCTGATGTTAACTAGCAGAATCACTGAAGGAGAAAATCTATATTTTTAGTCACCGTTATGGAGATCAGTGTTTGCTTTAGTTGGGCAGGTGACCTTTAAATGCTTTACTAATGATTTTGTTTAGCTGTTTTAACAGCTGGATGAACAAAGAGATCAGATGTTCAAGATCATGTTAGGACATAATCATCATTAGATCTGAATCACTGAACTCATTTAAAGCCTACTCTCTGATTTAAAAGTACAATGATCATAACAGCATCACTGTGATTTTATAACATTAGATCCAGATTCAAAATAAACCAGATGATATCTTAAACGTTGTTCTGAAAAATAAAAATCTTTCTTTTAGGCACGCACAGACATCAAGATTCAGTGTATGAATCTCAACAATGGTTACAAGCAGAATATTCAAATAGGGAAAGGAAATTACTAAGACAATTCAGATCATTATTTATTCATACCGCAATGCATGATGGGAGCCATGAATGAGTTTTGATTGGTGGCACCCAGAATGAACTGCAACATGCTTTATAATTGTCACCATTGTTGAGAATCACAGGCTGATTCTTGATGTCTGTGTGTGCCCATAAAGTATTTAGAATAGAACAGCTTTTAAGAAATCTTTTGGATAATATTTACATTTTTGAAAATGTTATACTGTGTAATCAAAAAGGTTAAACTCTACAAATGATTTTCGTGACAAATGATGATTATGTCAAAACATAACCAACCTCAGCGCATCAGCTTTCCTTGTTGTTCATCTGGCTGTTATATCTCATGTCCAGCAGCCAAACAACATCTACAGTTAATGATTTAAGAGTCAAGAGCCCAACTAAAGCAGACACTGATCTCCATAATGGTGACTTTAAAAATGTGACGTTCTCCTTCAGTGATTCTGCTGTTTATCATCAGGTGTCTTCAATAATGCTCAATCATCACTCAATTATTCACTTTATTATCTCATTAACTTTAACACTCTTGAGTCTGGATCCAAAGAGACTCCCAGTAAAGTTCATTTAACACTGGAGTTTTTGCTGTGGGTGGAATAAAAATGTGGCAGTACTTTTACTTCCTGACCCCTGGACTTTTCCACTCAAAACTCGGGTCTTAGGAGGTTAATTTATTCTGTTGCTTAGTGTATAACTTAGATTCTGCATAAATGTCCAGAATGTTAAATATAATAGACGCGATATGGCTCAGCTTGTCAGTGATCTACGGCTCTTTGTAGTGAATGCCGCTCCATCTGAAAGCAGGTGAAGGTGATTTACTGCTAATCAAGGAACCGGCTTTACTGATTAGATGCGCATAACAATATCGTGCGATATATCGCCCAGCCGTACTCGTTACTGTTTAGTTCATTCACCTGTTTACCTGTCATTATCAGTTAATTTGCCCCAGCTGTGTCCTGTTTCCCTGATCTGATCCCTGTGTATTTAAGGCTATGTTTACACAGAAACGATTCTGAAGATAAAACACAAAAGTGGCGTTGCATTATCACTTTTTATTCTGCGTTTAGACGAGCGTTTTTTGGTGTGAAATCCGCATGCGGATGGTGACTCAAAAATCTATGAAATTCACTGTAGTATGCACTCCAGGCAGCTAAAGAGTGCATACTACAACAACACCAAACCCGCGCGCCTGCGTACAACCTTCACTGTCAAGCAGACTTTTGAGTTTTACCTTTTACACGGGAACACGACGGTGGAGCGTTTTTAAGATTTCCACTCTGAAGGGTGGTTTCACTTTTTTGCGTTTTTAAGCCCCATAAACGCCGTCGCCGTGTAAACGAAAGGCACATCTGATAAAATATTTTTACGTTTTCACCCGCGAGCATTCTCGTGTAAACAGGGCCTAAGTCCTGTGTTTCAGTCTAGTACTTGTTTGTCATTGTCGCTACATGCTTGGTTGTTCTGTTCATGTTTCTTATATATCGTTGTAGTTTGTTAAATAAAACTGCTGCATGGCCATCCTGCTTCAACCAGCCTGTAACAATCACTAACATATTGGGGACAGGTGTAACCTAATTAACAATCAAGGAGGTTAACTAGAACACACTTTAGCAAGCAGACAGGGAAAAACAAATCGCAATGAAAACAGATACATAGATTTGACACTAGCCAATATCAATTCACGGTACTAATTGGATTATACTGACTTTGTTTAGTGACATCTGGTCGTTGGGATGGGTGCTTCATGATCTCTGCATGCTGGATATTTGGGTGAGTGTGTGTGTGTGTGTGTGTGTGTGTGTATATATATATATACAGTGCCCTCCACAATTATTGGCACCCCTGTTTAAGATGTGGTCGAGGACTTTTAAAAATTCTCCCTTTTTTTTAAACAACATAGAATCCAAATGCAAAAAAAGAGAAAAATCCAACCTTTTATTTAAGTACATTACTTTGGTGGTAAAAAAAAATGTAAAAATTTAGAAAAATAAAAACTTCAAATCCTGTGTCCCACAATTATTGGCACCCCTAACAATTCCGCTGAAAAATGTAATTGATTTTTTTAAAAAAATATATTTTCTGTAGTTGCTAATGTTGGTCAGGATATCTAGGAACTTTTAATTAGTAATTCATGACTTCCTATTTCCCTGGGGTATAAATATGACATGACACAGAGGCCTAATTCTCTTACCCATTTGTCAACATGGCAAAGACAAGAGAACACACCATTCAAGTAAGGCAGATGTGTGATGACCTTTATAAGTCAGGGAATGGCTACAAGAAAATAGCCACTCACCTTATCTTGCCCGTATCTAAAGTTAGAAGAATCATTAAGAATTTTAAAACAACAGGAACAGTGACAAACAAGGCTGAAAGAGGTCCCAAGTTTATCTTGCCACAACGCACTGTGAGGAGGATGCTAAGAAAAGTAAAAAAAAGTCCTAAGCTCACTGTCACAGAATTGCATCAAATAGTGGCATCTTGGGGTCACAAAATCTCCAAAAACAACCATCAGACGCTCTCTACATGCCAACAAGATGTTTGGGAGGCATGCTAGGAAAAAGCCTTTTCTCACTAACACTGACAAACGTAAACGTCTGGAGTTTGCCAAGCGGCACTGGGACTTCATCTGGGATCGTGTGCTTTGGTCGGATGAGACTAAGATTGAGCTTTTTGGCAACAAACACTCTAAGTGGATCTGGTGTAAAACAAAAGATGTGTATGCCGAAAAGTACCTCATGCCCACCGTGAAGTATGGTGGAGGATCTGTGATGCTGTGGGCCTGTTTCTCTTCCAAAGGCCCTGGGAACCTTGTTAGGGTGCATGGCATTATGAACACTTTGAACTACCAGGACATTTTAAATAAAAACCTGATGGCCTCTGCCAGAAAGCTGAAGATGGGTCGTCATTGGGTCTTTCAGCAGGATAATGATCCAAAACGTGTGGCAAAATCTACACAAAAATGGTTCAGTCACAAACTCAAGGTCCTCCCATGGCCATCTCAGTCCCCAGACCTCAATCCAATCGAAAACCTGTGGGGTGAGCTAAAGAGGAGAGTGCACAAGAGAGGGCCCAGGATACTGGATGATCTAGAAAGACTTTGCAAAGAAGAATGGTCAAAGATCCCTCTCTCTGTGTTCTTCAATCTTGTGAAATGTTATAGGAGGAGATTAAGTGCTGTCTTGTTGGCAAAAGGGGGTTGTACAAAGTATTAACATCAGGGGTGCCAATAATTGTGGGACACATGATTTGAAGTTTTTATTTTTTTAAATTTTAAAAAAAAATTTTACCACCAAAGTAATGTACTTAAATAAAAGGTTGGATTTTTCTCTTTTTTTGCATTTGGATTCTATGTTGTTTAAAAAAAAGGGAGAATTTTTAAAAGTCCTCGACCACATCTTAAACAGGGGTGCCAATAATTGTGGAGGGCACTGTATATAGTATATTGTATATATATATATATATATATATATATAAAATATATTATCATTTTTATTATTATTTAATCTATTCTTTAAAGTGGGTCTCCAAATGTAGGGTCACATGCAGGGCCATAGACACGGACTGACTATGCACAAATGGGCAGTCTTTCAATGCATTAAATCATGTTATTCCATGGTCTGGGTGAATACTCGATTCTGATTGGCTGCAGGGTGTCCGTTAAAAAGTGATAGAGGACACCTAGTAAAGTAGTTCTGGTGAAACTGCCTGTTTACCATTCGAAATGAATAAATAAATGCGCTGCCTACAACAGCTGTGAGTAACCATAGCAACAGGCAGTCAAAGTATCCCTTAACAATTTGCTCTATCGAAACAAACATCTAACGTTAGTTAGATATTACATAGCCAGCCTACTAATACAACAATGAGCGACTTCATTATTTCTTTTAACATTTATGGAGAATATGACAACTTTGACGACTGGGATGCTGCTGAAGAAATAAAAATGTAAATAAAACGGAGAAACGTCGCAAAGAAAATGACACCGCTGCTGCTCTGAATGAGACCCTGCGGGAGTTTTACGCAGCAGTCCAGACAACCAAGGCAGGAGGAGAGTACAGCGTTTCAAGCCTAAGAAGCCTGTTTGATTAATTGGTTTATGTGTAATTAAAAAAAAAAAAAAACCTTGCCTACCTTTGTGTTTCATGAATAGAAAAATGCATTTTTGAACCTGAAGGGTTCTACAAACTGAGCGGACTATAAATATCTCCGGTTGCTAAATAAACCAGGCGAGTTATTATTTGTAAAAACTTGATTTAGCCTAATTAAAATATAAACTAGCAGCTAATGTTTTAAAAATGTTTTATTTGGCAAGTGACCATGGTATAAGCGGGTTAATGCCCTTCGAGGTGTCCATTGTCAGGTTTTAATGGACTTCGGCGGAGGCAACCGCTGCGCGTCGACCGGTTCACGCCTCGCCGTCGTCCATTAAAACCTGACAATGGACACCTCGAAGGGCATTAACCCTTACTCAATGCAAATTAAAATAATCCTATGGCTCAATCAATTAACTTTAGTGTACAAACAAAAAGAACAGACCAAATCTATTTTAAGTATATATATATATTTTACTTTACATTTGCACACACAGAAATATATTTTTTTTCTCTGCATTTCTCCTCTTCTCTAGATTGCTTCTTAAAGGGATAGTTCACTTTGAAATTAATTTTTGATATGTTTTATCTTACCTCAAAGGGATCCCAGATGTCTTTGTTTCCACAGTATTTCCAATTTTGACATTTTTCAGTCAAACCGTTGTTGTCTATCAGTCATACACTGGAGGTTTAGGGGGTCCACCAAAGAGCAGCACAGAGAAGTCCAAATTAAACATGACTTAATGACTCGTACATGTAAGTACACACTGATGGCCTAAGACACGAAACGAGCGGTTTGTGTGAGAAAACGTTTGTGTTTGTCGTTTATACCTCTTGTAATCATAGCCATGACACAATGATCTGACGGCACGGGCGCTTCGGTCTGGAAGTGATGGCTTGCGCGCCGACGTCACTCTTTGTTTACAGAGATTTCTGAAGTTTTACCTTTCACTAAACATATTTAGATATCCGGGAAACCACAATGGAAGACGATTTCGGTATATCTAAATATGTTTAGTAAAAGGCAAAACTTCCGAAATCTCTGTGTAAATATTGAGTGACGTCACACGCAAGCGATCGCTTCCGGCGTAACATTGAACTGATTCAGTTCGGTTCAGTTGGACATTGAACAACTGATTCAGATCACTGTGATTACACGAGGTAAAAACGATATAAATACTGTTGGTTTTCTCACACAAACCGCTCGTTTCGTGTCTTAGGCCATCAATGTGTACTTACATTTACGAGTCATTAAATCATGTTTAATTTGGACTTCTCTGTGCTGCTCTTTGGTGGACCCCCATAGACCTCCAGTGTATGACTGACAACAACGGTTTGACTGAAAAATGTCAAAATTAGAAATACTGTGGAAACAAAGACATCTTGGATGCCCTTGAGGTAAGATAAAACATATCAAAAATTAATTTAAAAGTGAACTATCCCTTTAATATATGTGTATATTAAGTCTGGAATTGTGTCCTACAAATGATGTTGGCTTTGTTTAACAAATTGCCTTTGTTCTTCTATGGCTAGTTACTTTGGGGAAAAGTGTAAGAATATAAATTTAGTCACATAATGGTCTTATTTTTTAATATATTTTAATTTTTAATAATCTAGAGGTTAATCAGACTTTTATTTTTCCTTTATCTGACAGTCTAACATCATAAAGCGTCGCTGTCTACATGCCAAAAGCTTGGCAGGAACCATACCCACAATCTCAAATATGTACTCGGGAGATCTAAGGGAATTAATCAGTCAAATGCTGAGCCGTGACCCTCATGAGAGACCTTCAGCTGATGAGATTCTGGATAAACCATTCCTGGAAGATGCAGTGGAGAGAAACAGGATTCCAGATGCACTGCAACAAATGTTCTTGACTTCCATCGATCCTTACAGTGAGTACTATAAAGACTTTGAGACTGTTGTGAGTGAGTGGGAAACAACAACAGATTCACTAGATGAGATCTATAGGCAGTCTGACAGGTACAGTGATCGGAGCAGCTGGAGGAATCACTGCATTAGTTGGTGTAATTTTGTCACCGTTCACACTTGGAGCATCTCTGATTGTATCTGGTGTTGGGATTGGTGTTGGAGTTGCAGGTTGTGTAACTGGTGCTGCATCCAACATTACCAATAATGTCAAACAAAAAGCACTACATCAGAGCTTTGAAAAACTTTAGCAGGACTACAGAGAAGCAAGTGAAATGATTCTTAAGTCACTCAACTTTCGACTGAGAAAAAAAGTTCAGTGATTTTGTCCCTAGATCAACTTTAGATAATAGTAGAGAGGTGAAGCGACTTTTGACTTCAAGTCATGATGCAAAGGTCCCCTTTGGTATGGAAGGACCTTAAGGCCATAGAAATACATTTATCCTAAGACACAAGTGAGATCACATTTTGTTTCTTATGTACTGTGGAGTGCAAAAAGGAGTAGACGCGAGACGGGAATGCGTCGAGTCAGCTTTACTCTCCACTTCAATAATACAGAACTCAACACCGTGAAATCCACACAACAACATTACCCCGGAACTACTAACTACTTTCCCCTCTCTTAAAGGTATATTCCCTAGGTGAATTAGTGAATGTCTCTCAGTGCTATTTGTGGGTCACCCCACATTTCTTTTAAATGGCCACCAATCATACTTGAGAGGCACATATCTTTGCTTCAGTTATAGCTATAATGACAAATTTGATATCAACGTGTACATTTTTGTGGTCAAGAAGTCCAATAAAGTTGGTTCCAAGACTAAAAAACAATCATGTTGTCCTTACCATGACAATTCACAACTTAATAATTTCTGCTTCGCATGCGCCTTTACAGCACTGGGTCTCGCGTCGAGCACGGGCATCCGGTCGTTTATGTCTCAAGGTAACTCAGAACTGTATCACAGCTCTGGAGCCCTGTGAGGCGTTCGACCGGTATCAGACAGGTGTAAACCTGGGCGTAATCTCGCAACTGAAAGTGGTTTCAACAGACGCCTCCAATTCAGGCTGGGGCGCCCTCTACAAGGGCAGACCGACTTTTGGCCTGTGGTCAAGCCAAGAAAAGAGCTTGCATATAAACTGTCTAGAGATGAAGGCGGTTGAGAACGCCTTACGGTTCTTCCTTCCCTTTCTAAAGGGCCACCATGTCCTTGTCCGCACGGACAACATCTCGGTGGTTTCCTACATAAATCGCCAAGGCGGTCTGAGATCACAGAACCCTCAAGAGCAGGAGAAAGAGGAAGCCTGAAAAGCTCACTAAGTTTATGAAATTACTTCACAATATGTATACATTATTGAAGACTCATTTGTAGTGCTTTCTCCTTTTGCTCTCGGCTATGCAGTTACTGTAGTCCGCCACAGGAGGGAGACATGCGCACACGTTTCAGAAAAAGCTTCACAAATCCTGGCAATGAGCAACTTTGAAGCATTGAGATGCAGCCGTCTTCTAATACTATTTTTTTCACCAAAATAAAACGAAATAAATAACTGTACGTGAAAAGAAAACTCACATGATGGTGAAAACAATAAAGCTGCTCTAAAGTTATATACAGTATATAGGCGGTCTGAATACAGTCCATGTAAATGAAAAAGTTACATGTTAAGCAAAACTCGTTCCAGTCTGAGTTCACCCACTAGTACAACTGATCCAGCCTCTATGATGAAAGGGCAGCAAATATTATATATCATATATTTTTCGTTTTCGTCACCATACACGTCCAACAGCAACTTCTCCAAAGAGGCTGGAGTCAATCACCACTGCCACCAAAAAATATGTAATGCGTATCCACAAGTTTCCGAGGGGCGCTCCTGTAAAAAATAAAGTGGGTGAAACTTCCGGTGACGCGGTGGAAGTAGCATTCCAATGGTATTTTGTGTGTTAGTTAGCGAAGAGGCTAGCTGTTTTTCGGAGAATTATTTTACTATTTAAAGACGCAAATCTTTATGAGAGATGTCGTTACGGAGCTCAGGGACAACATGTGCTGTTCGCGGTTGTATGTATAACCGGACTAAACTAATTCAGTGGCTTAAACGTGATTGTTTAGAACATAAGCTGAAAACGAAATCAGAGTGATCCTGCCAGAGCCCGTCTCTGATACTGCCAACGACTGTAGTTTCCATCACCTCCCAAAAGACGACGAATCTTCCTGTGTACATTTGTTTTTAATTCTTAATATTCTATAAACTCTATCAGCATGTGTTTGGCTGTTCGCTACTGATGTTACAGCTAAACTCAGGATCAAAGCCTGTGCTGACAGAATACCAAATGTGCCAGTTAATGTATTCAAGCAGCACATTCATTTATAATTTTGAATAAACTCCAAAGCACAATGACTAAGTGTGTATTTTTTATTTTAATTGTTTGTCAGCTCGCACAACTGTCTGTCACCATGCCTTGATGAGTATTGATTATTAATAATGTTATTATAATACTCCCAATCAACGACTGCGGACGGTAAAGGTACTGTTATTTCACCCTTTTGAATTTCGTTGAGGTTGTGTTCCCACATCGTTAGCTAGTTTGGATCGCTATAACTTGAATGACTGTCAACTGTTGAATGAACGAGTGTCAAGCATGTCAAGTCGCGCTTTGTTTACTTCCAACCGGAAGTCGCGCCCACTTTTGACGCAAGGCCTCATGGGGCGTAGGAAACTTGTGGATAAAATATGTCAGTATTGATGTCAATAAAGACGATGGACTTGAAATATTGACGAATAATAACTTTTATTGAGCAGAGTGTTAGAATTGGGGAGCAGAGCAACACTAAACACATGGTCGTCGGAATCATTGTGTGTGTGTGTGTGGAACTGGAACAAGACCCACACACTTTAAGACCAATGATATTGGACCCACTCACTTTTACTGTCTCTAATTCAGAGTTTAGTTTACTTATAAAAGGCATCAGAAATTCTGCTCTGTCAGAAATAATCATATCCCATGTGGAAAAGACCTTAGAAAATCTCCTCAACTGCATGATCTGAGGCATCATTCATGTCTGGAGCACAAGACCATTTATAGACTGAAGATTAATACTTTGGGTTGACAATTTGATTAAGTCATATTTCCTTTATTTTGAAGCACTCGTGTAAAAGATGTATTATATTTTACAGATTCATCTGCTACAATGTCGAACAGTAACCAAGAGAAGAGCAGCAGAAAGTCTGACCAGACCAAACAGCAACAGGCACATGTCAACAGGTAAGAGTCATAATACAAATGTAACATAACAGTTTTCATTCTTAACATATTCATTTCATTCATTTGAATTTTTTTTGTTTAAATGGTCCAAACTTAAAAAGTAAGAGAGAAAAGTATACTAAAGTAGCGGCTCCTCCAAGAATCGTTGAAACTCGCTGACTGTTCATTATGTCACATAAATGAAATGATCCTATTGGTCTTGGAAGAAAAAAAGTTACAAGCTTAAAAAAAACTTCAACAACTTTCAAAAAAAGAGATAGAAAACTGATATGTTTATGAAAAAAAAAATCAATATTACTTATAAATAACTGCCGTCCTGTCACTGCAAAACAGGCAATAATAAATATCTGATTTAAAAATGTTGAATCAATTCTCTATTTTGTAGATCACATCATGATGCTACACTGATGAATCCTGATAAAGGACCTCCAGCACTTTATCGTCTGAACACAGAAAGAAAATATATTGATGGGACTGATAAAAGGGTCAGACAGTGGACATATGGAAGAAGAGACAGAAACAAGCAGAATAAAGTCATCCTGATGGTGGGAGAAACCGGCACTGGGAAAACCACCATCATCAACACCATGATCAACTACTTACTGGGAGTGAAGTTTGAGGATCAAGAGTTTTATCAAATCACAGAAGAAGATGAATATAAAGATCAGTCACAATCCCAGACACGTGAGATCACGGTTTATGAGGCGTTTGTTGAAGAAAGCCCAACATCTCTGACCATCATTGACACTCCAGGATACGGACACACTGATGGACTCGAGAAAGACAGAGAGATTGCTGAGTATCTGACCAGATTATTTTCAGATAAGGATGATGGGATTCATTACATTGATGCAGTGTGTTTTGTGATGAAGGCGTCTCAGAATCGTCTCTCTGACAGACAGCTTTACATATTTCACTCAGTTCTGTCTCTGTTTGGTAAAGATATAGAGGAGAACATCGTGTTTCTACTCACACAGTCAGATGGAGGACCTCCAACAGATGCTCTCAATGCCATTGAGAAAGCAGAAATACCCTGCAGAAGAGATGAAGACAAAGAACCTGTTCACTTCTTATTCAACAACCGACAGAAACAGAAAAGAGACAAAAAGTATAATCTAGTTTTGAGATCAGCCTGGGGAATGGGAGAGGAAAGCATGAATGAGTTCCTCAAACTCCTGGAAGAAAAGAACAGAAAAAGTGTTGAGATGACATTAGATGTTCTGAAGGAGCGAAGATGACTCGAGGCCTGTGTCTCTAATCTGAGGCAGAGAATAGAGGAGAAGTTACAAACTAAAGAACTGAATCAGATTCAGGAAATCCTCAGACAGAACAGAGACAAGATCAAGAAGTGTGAGGACTTTCCGTTTACAGTCAAGAAAGTTTTCAAAGTAAAAGTCCCCATTGAAAATGAGCAGCCGTGGAACAGTTACGCGACCTGCTGCTCCGTCTGTGAGGAAAACTGTCATGAGTGGGGGTGTTATTGGGTCTCTTCTGATAATCTCTCACAGTGTTCAGTCATGAAAGACGATCACTGCACTGTGTGTACTGGAAAGTGTCATTACAGCAAACATGTCAAAGAGGACAAAAAATATGTGACGAAGACACTGGATGTCACAATGTCATTTGACGAGCTCAAACAGGAGTATGACAGGTTCATGAAAGAGTCACAGAATATAACAGAAATAGAAGAACAGCTGATCAGAGATCTGGAGAAGACTAAAGAAGAAAAGTCCAGACTGCTGTATGAAGCTTATACGGCCATCACGAGTCTGTCTAAGATCGCACTAAAAGCCGACAGCGCTTTCACTCTTCAACATCTGGATTTCCTGATTCCCAGATTGAAGGAGGAGGGAAAAGAGGAATGGATGAAGAACCTGCAGGATCTGAAGAAAGCTGGAGAAGAGAAGAAAAATAAAGGGGCTGTACAGTATGTGTGGGACCTTACTGGGCAAACATTTAACAATCTTTTCAGTCGTGGTAAAAAATAATAAATGCAACAAATCTGAAAATACACGATGAAAGAGCAGAACAGATGGTAATCCATGAGTGAAAATGATTCTCAAAATTTCTTTACGTGATCAAATGACTGAATATATGAAAAGTTCAATCAGGCATAATAGTTAGAACAAAATTGATGAATGACTGTCATTTAAGTTTTATTTAGTCTCTGTTTTAGTAATTCTGGAATGAATTTTCTATGTAATGCACTATGTTTGCATTTTCTATGTGTCTGATTTTCCTTTATTATTGTAATTAAGGTGGTATTATAGTTGAACAGGTTTCTTGGTCTCGTGTTTCTATCAGTGGATGTGAATTAGTTTGGATCTAGTTTTACTCATGGAAAGGCCACTGTTCACCACATTACTGTGTTTCCATCCAGAGTTGTGAATGACACTTACGTGCAAAATTAAAGGAGTCATGAGGAGGCAATTTTCACTTTTCCACGAGAATCAATGTATGTTATGATTGCCTAACGATTATACATTGGCCGGGAAGCCGATTATCAAAAGAGAAGCGTTTGTTTACCCCAGGGTTCGTAAACCAGCCCACGTGCACGCGCACTCAAATACGAGATTACAATTTCTCCCCCGACTTCACGTCAAGACAGGGCAGGATATACCATATATTATGGGGGTGGGATTGTTCCATTATTCAAAATAAATAGATCATGATCCACAAATAAATGTAAAGAGTTTCACAAAAAAAAATATAAAACTCACAAATAAATAAAATGAGATTTGCAAATAAAACTATGTATTTGTACAAATGTTTTTTATTCCACAGACAACTCTGCCTGGCATTTATTTGTGAACCGCTTTCTGTGCATTTGTAAATCCCCTCACGCATTTGTGGATTTTGAAACACTTCTAGCATCAAGGTGCAGACAAATCCACAAATAAGTGGACTCCACCCACCATTTCCTCAAGCCAATCAGATAACGGCTATGTTGAGCTGACCAATCATAGCACGTTCTCGCTACAACCAATCACGTTAGGCTTTACACTCGGGGCGGGACATGAATGTGACTTATTTTGAAGATATTTGCACCCTTGTATATCTGGCGCTTCATTCAAATTGAGCTGTTTGTGTGGTTGCAACAACCCGTTTCCAAAAGGTTGCTGGAGTTTAAGGCTTTTTTATATTTCCATCGGGATTGCACACAAATTATGATCACCATCCCGAGCATAACACCCTCTACACCGGAATCAAGCGGTCAGAAGCAAATGGCCCATTATCTTCTCGACTGCCGTGGCAGTTTCTATAATGTAATACTAACATTTTTGTAATGTTAACACATTTTGCCCATGACGTTTTTTTACCTGCAGATATATGACGTGTCTATGATCTTCCTTCTTGACTAGTGCTGGCTGCATGCATTATTCATTATTCGCGATAATGTAGCTATACTGGACGCGGCGCAGATAATTCATTGATAGTAAACGGATGTCCGTTCTTCTTCTGAAGCAGCGGCTACACGGAGGACGCATCATTTGATGGTTTGCTTTGTCTAGTGTAATGTTAGACAGACTCTCACGGGGTAGACACAATGTTACATATTTAATGATGGTCATATTTGGTACATAATAGTTATGTCCTGTCGCTATATTATATTTTATACTTTAAAAGACAAAATCATCCGTTTTGTCATTTCTTAGATTGTGTCTAGCCTGTGAAAGTCTGTCTAAGACTCTCATGTAACTCTGACTTGATCAGTCAAACTCTGATTTGACTCTCATGCTGTTTCAAGACGGGCGTCTTTTTGCTGTAAAGACAGGCACTTAGTGCAAATATATGCACCGTTATAGAAAATGTAAAAAAAAAAAAAAAAATGTTTTCTTCCCTTAGCTTGGGCCCCAAGTGCACATGGCGAACTTCCAATAAATACATTTTATCAGACCGGCCCTCGCGGCCTCAAAACACAACCGGCCCACTGGGAAAACTCCCGACTCTCCCGATTGCCACTCCGCTACTGATCCGGGATGTCTATGTTTGTGGGAATTTGTTGGAATTGTGGAAGTGTTTGAATCTTTACATTATGCTTACAGTATTAGAGTTTAAGAGATATACTGTATGGTTTTATACTGATTATTGTTTGCTTTTGTTTAGTAATGTATATTAGTGCTTGGAGAGGAATGATATGTTAGATTTATTCATTTGTAATTTGTTTCTCTCTTTATAGAAAACCACACACAAAATTAGGCTACACCCACCCTCAAACTCACTCACACAAGAAAGAGGAATAAAGAAACAATCAGAACTATTTCTCCACTCTTTATTTCATACACTGGAACATTTGGCCTTTAAGTGGTGCTCTGGCCGACACACTTGAGTGAACTTGGTGATAAACCCAGAACTAACACATAGACTGAGTGTTTACCTATTATCTTCACTATAGTTTTAAAATCCGAACAACTTCCCTGATACAAAACGCATTGTTGTCTAATGGTGAAAGTATGAATTAAACCAAAGTAAGGAAGATCTTGAAAGGCCAATATCATACAGTTTAGGCTATCTAAAAGAAGATAACGATCTACTAAATCAAAAGCTTTGCTTAAATCAATAAATAAGGCACCAGTTAAATTATTGGAATCAAAAGAAGATGTAATATCATTAGTATTTTTTAGGAGAGCACTTGTTGTAGAGAAATTTAGTTTCGGAAACGGGCTGAAAAGGTGATATAATATTGGAATCATTCAAATATTTTAGTTATTGAAAGAAAATTATTTTTTCTAATATTTTCACCACGCTATTAATTTACGGAATATTACGGAGATCCCATGGGAGTATCACGAAGGAAGTCCTCTGCTTCCTCGGGGGAACGAAGAATGGTGACCTTACCATCCACAGTTACCCTCAGTGTTGCAGGATACTGTAACGAGTACTTGATTTCCAGCTCTCGGAGTTTCTGCTTAATGGGATCAAACTGACGGCGTTTCTCGAGAAAAGTAGCGCTGTAGTCTGGGTAGAAGTAAATACGCGTCCCCTGGTATTGTAGATGCCCCTTCTCCCCGGCAAGTCGGAGAATTTTCATCTTATCCTGAAAGTTCATGAGCTTAATCAGGATTGATCTTGCACCCGTTTTAAAGTTGAGATTACTTACAGTCTGAGTACGATCGATGTGCCCTTTCAGTCACTGGAGGCATTGGATAATTATCTGGGGATGAAGCCCAGTATGTCTGCTACTATCTTCCGGTACTCGCAAGAAACGGCTCCTGTTCTCCATCTCCTCTGTTTTTTCTCTCAGGTGAGTGTTTTCCTTCTCTAGGATTTCAATACGTTTTCCAGATCGGATATATTGTCTTCATTAGCGCTGACTCTTGTTCCAATAGGGAGACTTGGTCTACAATATAGTACACAGGGAGTCCTCTATTGTATTCAGACTCGATTGAAGTTTATCCATTTTACAATCAAAGTGTGCAAGCAACTTGTTTTTCAGTTCTTGTATAACCTCAGTTATAGATTTGAGAAGTCATTGTAACACAATAGAGCAAAACACGCTCTTAGTTGTCAACTATTTATGTCCGTTTAATTATAGAGTTGTTTAAGAAATGTTATCCTTTGTTGGCAAATATGGAGATGAGTCAATGAGTCAATATATTTAAAAAAAATAGTTCATAATGCAGACTTGAGCATCAGCAAACACTCAGTTTGTCAGTGCGTCCATCTTGGATTAAGCAACATGAAGTTGTATTTGAGCCTTATGTCATAAACACCTTGTGAAACTTTTAATTGGAAGTAAGCATTTGTCTGTACAACATACTATTCCTATTTTACTTTACTTGTTTTTTTTTAAAGCCAATTGTTTGTTTGTTTTTTTGAATAAGTGTAACTAATTAGATTGTTCGGTGTGTTTTTTGCAGACTGTGGTTATTTTGTTTAGTTTCTCTTTCAGTGTGTCACGTGTTTTGCAGGAATCAGATCTCGGGTGCATTTAATTAAAACGACAAAGACTGTTGAAATGGATCAGTGTGTGTTTGGTTAAAGCTGCAGCTTTAATAGGCAGCCAATAAACCGGGCTAATATGATCATACTTCCTGGATCTGGTAAGAACTCGAGCGGCTGCGTTTTGAACCAGCTGATGTCGAACTAGCTGAAGTGTACAGGGCAACAACCCATAAGAGCAGTACAATAATCAGCATTGATGTCATGAACGCATGAACTAAGTGTTCTGCATTTTTATTTCAGAGAATTAACATAATTTAGATATGTTTTACAGATAGACGCACAACTTTGAAATATTTGGAAATCAAAAAATGAAAGATTTGGTATTAAAAAGCACACCAGGGTTCCTAAACGATGAAGGAGGACTTGTGTTAGACAGTATTATAGGCTGTTACATGTGGAAGTTTTTTTTCCCCCAATAATTATAATCTCTTAATTATTATAATTATAATCTTTTTCAGAATTTAGTAGGAAATTACTAGTCATCCATTTTTATATCAGCTGCATGCCGTTAATTATGCCTGGTGTCAGTGGCGCAAAAAGTGGGTATGCGCTATATGCGGCGCATAGGGGCGCAGCACAATGGGGGGCGCCAAAGCGATGGTAAAAAAAAAAAAAAAAAAAAAAAAAAATTATATAGCCTATATTGTATTTCTATATGTAGCTGCCGTTGTGCGTTTCTAAATCATTTCTGCATTCCTTCATTGTTATATAAAATTTTAGAGGACTAACAGCCAGGCTAGAGTAGGCGCCCTCATGGAGAAGGGGGGCGGGTAATATCGCGAGCGGGCGGGGGCGCCGTGAGCGCTGAGCGAGCAGGTACGAGTAGTTAGTTGTCGTCGAAAAAGATGGATTAAACAAAATGCTGTGGGGCTAAAAATAGAAAAAGAAAGAGAGAAAAGGAGATGGCATGTCAATTGATGCGATAGCAGCTAAATAACTGCATGCATTGCTGAAAGCCAACAGGTAGGATTTAAAATGTGACATCCAGGCATGGCTATCTATATCTCGGTGGCCATCGGGACTACCGGGAGATTCCCGCTGGGCCGACGTGCTTTTCAGCCAATACATTTCATCCTTTTTTAATTTATTTGTCTTAACGGCCCACAAAACTCATACATCGGCGGCCCATTTGTTTGTTTGTTGTTTGTTTTTGTTTTGTTTTTTGCTTAATTGGCGGCGCTGTGCTGGTGTAATGCATTGGTCAAAAAAAGTCAGCTTTAGTTTTTTTATCTGACACACTGGCCCATGAAATACGTCATTATGCGCAAGTATCTTTCAAGTATAGAAATTAGTGCAAAACTAATTATGAAAGTTTCCTTTATTTTTCTGTGCATTTGTTTTACAATAGCCTTTATGGCTATTACTATCATGGGATTAATATTATAACTATTATTATGTAGTAGTGTAATGGAGACAGACACTAACTAAA